TTCTATCCTTTCAAACCATCATTTGTCAAAGCTACCACTTTCTTAGTGGCTGTTGATGCGATTTTTGGAATACACTGATCAATAGCTTTCAAATGGTATATCATACATGAGTATAGGAGGTCTATTAATTAAATTGGAAAAAACCCTGGCAATTTAGGGCTGAGAGGGTTAAGGGGACTGAACTCAAAACTTGGTTTAACGTACCTACTAAATTTGAAGTTATCCTTCTTGCTCTTGAATTTTTATGAGGTTTGATAGTTTTTAATTAATCCACTCTCACTTTAATTTTTTTGACAAATTTTAGATGATTTGTATAGATCTATCATGAATAAACTTTGTACAAAGTTTAATTTAATTTTGAATTTATTATGTTTTTACATGACCCCATTATGTACTGAGCCTTAATTTTAATCATTACTAAGTAAAGGTTGTCTGTCTGTCTGTCTGTCTGTCTGTAAGTCTGTCTGTCTGATAGCTTAGGCTGGATAAAGTGCATCCAGTCATGGTTACTCTGCTTTGATATTGTTTTGCAGACTCTTCTTGGCGTTGTTATGGCAGCCACTGTGTATGCCCTTTACTTGAGGATTTCCCAACCAATCACAGACATGCTGGATGACAGAAGTCAGGTTGGTGCAATGTACATGCAACACCTACAGGTGTATCTGGGCTAGACCATCAGTTTTTGCTTTTCTAAGATTGGACAGTCAAATGAATTGTCTTGCCCGAAACCAAATGGAATATCAAACTGTGTTTACTTGAATGTTCCATTTACCTAGAAGATTTGCTTCTCTTGATATCTGAAATTTGGTTTGAAAAAGTTGGCAGCATCATTTGTACAATATGTTCTGTTCTTTTGCAGTGTTAAAAAGTTAACACTGGTTTAGGTTACTTGTACTTTCAGGAGTGACCCCAGCTTAACTGTAGTGGCACATTTTTCTGTAGTTTTGAAAAGTGCCGTAATGCATGTTTGAAAACACTTCTTTGACAGGAAATCTTGGATTTGTACAATGAAGGTCGGAACAGTCAAATTGAGGTTTTGACAAAAGCAATAGAGGAAGAGAAGAAAATTGAGTATATGCTCACTGCAAGAAAGGACATCGTGGAAGTTATGAGGGTAAGGTCATATACCTAAACTACTTAACTATGTACAGTGTTGTTGGTTTCAAGGCTACATGTACCTTAAACAATCTGCCGGGACTATTTTTTACAGTGTATTTTAGTCTTATCATTATTTGCACCAAGAACTGCATCATGTCACTCCTTGTACAGTGTACACTCCAAAGCTCTTTATTTTTTCTTTGCCAAGCTTTGATGTAAATCTTGTTTTTGAGAATTAGTCATACATGTGTTGGTACACCGTATAATGGCACTTTCTAGCTGGCTATTTCTCCTGTTAGATCTACAGCTATAAAATGTGATCTAGACCTGTACTTTAGCCTGCAGTGGTACACTTATAATTTGACAGATAAGTCAGTTTATAAAATAACTGTTTTGTTGAAGGAAAACAATGCAATGTCTTTGGAGGTGGAGTACCGTAACAGGCTTCATGAAGTTGTCAGGGAGGTCAAGAAACGTTTGGTAAGAATCTTCTGCAGCTCTTTCATTCCTTCTAGATGTTGCCTTGGTGGCATTGGACTCTGACCAGTTCTACAAATAATGAATAATTTCTAGTTTTGTATCACTCATGAGACAGTGTTTCATCACTGTTTCAAAGGCAGGCAAGCAAATACAAAAGTTATAAGGTCTTTTAATTGAGACAGTGTTTCATAATGGAAACTAAAATAAAAGCAACAGTGGCAAAAGAAATTCATAAAAAAATTATGCTTACATTAAGAACACATTCAAAATGCCATAAACTTCTTATAATTTCTTTTGTTTATTACTTGTTGATTGTTAATGAGTTTAACAAAAAAAAATGAATTACTGTCAGCTTTAAGTTAAAAATGTTTGTTCGCTGCACAGGATTACCAAGCAGAAATGGAAGCTTTCCAGCGAAAGACTGAACAAGATCACATAATTGACTGGGTGGAACAAGAAGTTGTGAAGAGTATTACACCTCAACTGGTATGTCTAGCTAAAAGTCATAACATTGTTACTATACATTGTGCATGTAAGTTTATGTTTTGTCTTTATGTTGAGGTGCTTTTTGCATAACATAATCCTAAATTTTTTTAGCCCCGTTTGATTCCTGAGTTATAGTAATTTGTGATCCTGGGATGCAGCTAAGGCCTGGCTGTTGCCTAATTTCATTGACTGAAAGAGAACTTAAATCCAGATGATATTTCACACAAAAACAAAGACTTGGTGTAACTTTGGAAGCTAAAAAGTTGACTACATTTGTTTTAATTAAAAAAAAAGGTGTAACTTTGGAAGCTAAAAAGCTGACTGCATTTGTTTTAATTTTAAAAAAAGAGCCAGCTTAGTGTTTTCTTAGCTATGTTTGTGATGAACATAGGCATTAGAATTAAAATCCAGATAATCTTGGTAGTGATGCACTGTACATTCAAAGAAAACTGAAAATGCCTAAAGCACAAGAAATTACTTGCTACCCTATTTTTAAAAATTGTCATTTGTTTGTTTGGTTTCTTGCTTGCCTTCACAAAGGGTCAGCAATGGTTCAAAACCACTGCAAGGGCTTGTTCTCCAGAAAGTTTGCTACAGTTTAGCGATAGACCCCTTTCCCAAAAATGCATAGAGCTTTTAAGAATAATGTCATGAACATTACCATGGTTAGTCTTATTATGTTTTTCAAATGTTTTGACATCATTGTCAAATAACTTTCTGGGACGTTGCCTTTCTGGTACATTTATCCTGCATTAATTTCAAGACTGCTGTTTATTCTAGCTATTTGTAAAGAAACCATAATTGATGTATTTATTTATTATTTATTTATTTATCTATCTATCTATCTTTACACAGGAAAAAGACAGTGTTAGCCAGTGTATAAAAGATCTAAAAGCCATGACACCAGCATGAGAATGCAAGTGTGATTTATAACATTCAAACTTTGCAAGTGTTGTGCCTCTTTTTTGTGAATAAAAATTCTTGTTATTGGATTTGTAACTCCAATGTGTCAGTGGTAATTGCCAAATAAAGGGTGAATTATCTTACCAGTGTGTGAAATGAAGGCTATTGTTATGAAAGATAATGATTGGTACTGGATATCTCCTTAAGGTATTGATACACCCTGGGCAGTTAGGTCATAAGAAAGAGTCAGATCACCATGGGATTTTTGTTAAGAAATAAACTTACCAGGCCTGCATCATGTGCATGTTTTTAAGCAAATTAACACTATTTGGAATGTAAAGTTGATCACTTGAGGTCTTATTCCTCTTGTTTATTAAGAATAAGTTATTTTGATTCAGTAATTTACCTGCAGCTGGAGACCTGCCAATGCAGAACAACAAAAACAAACAAAAGAAATCAACATATAAACGTAAAGTTATAGGTAGTTGACATGAATCGTGCAGGATTAACTTAATCGTGGAGTCAAGGTACACCAAAACCTCTGTCCCATTGTTTGGGGCAAGTAGATATTTGATTCCAACAACTTAATGTTTATCATGGCTTTTCCAACAAATACTATTTTAAAAAAAGAAAATTGACACAACTTTACCAAGAAGAAACATTGATTCATAATTTAATGACAAGGAAGTTTCTCATTACCCAAAAGGGAAAAAGAAATAAGTCAAGAAATAAAAGACGTTAATGTGTGTACATTTACTTATAACATATAGATTTCATGTAAGTAAAGGAAGTCTAGTAAATGTTTTTTGTGATTTTGACTTTATTTCACATTATTACACTCCAAATTTAACACTAAATTACAAATGACAACTTCTCATGAACTTAAAGATAATTATTATACAATCATGTAAAACCACAGAACAATCATGGTGTTAAAAGCAATCTTTTCTAGGGGATTACTGGTATACTTCCTTTGTGACACAATAAAAGTCATTAATTATGATAATAATCATAATGCTGCAATATTTAAACATCATTTCCATTTATATTATATTATATTATTTTTAAGTGACTGCAATTTATGGATGAGGCTGCCATTTTGATGGGGAAAAGGACACCACAAAATTAATTTTATTATTAACTTTGTAACCCCACCAGTAACAATAATTATTGTAATGAGACTTTTGTGAGAATTCCACTTCTTTGTTTGTTTGTTTGCGACTTCTTTGTTATCACCATGAATGAAACAATGCACCTGTACACATATCAAATTCACCTAGGCAGCTGTCAGTATAAATACAGCATAGCTTTCTAATAATTGGTTAAATATTGAGCAAAGGCCAAATTTGTACCTTACACTGGATTTTAGGTTCTGCTTGGACAAAAGAAGGCAATCATTTATCCATATTTGCTATGTGAACCATCCTTACAGTCCCAATATTGATAGTGCCAGAATCTTATTAGAACTGTACTATGTATGCTTAAAAAAGCTTAGTGCATGGAACACCAGGGTGAACAAAGATGTAACTAAAATTGCTTTCAAAAACTTACCTTCAGATTATTAAATTTTATTCTACTACTTCATCCAAAGTTGATAAAAGAAGTAAAAAGAAATTCATAACAATTATAAATTATTCATGTATCAAACTGATGTAACCATATTACAATGCTTCCTATATTCCACCCACATTCCTTGATACAGGCATCTAAATTGTGATGAGTGATTATAATAAATTATATATTATAAGAAATGAAGAAATGATGAAATCTGAAATTCTGAACCCTCATTTTAGACATAAAAAATTTCCTGACTGCTAAAAATTCTCTACTGACAAACAAAAATAGAACGACGCCTTTTGCTGTCAATGACGTCAATAATTCTTGATGCAGCTGGAAGGTCTACTGTACCACCATTTTCATCAACCTCCAGAGCCTTTTCCAATGAGGCTTTTTGCAAATCACCAAGGTTGCCATTGTGGTAGACTGTAACCCATTTGTCACCTTTATTAACAAACTGACCAACACGTACACCCAATACCAAACCAACTCCATAATCAACTTTGTCTGTGGCAGTAATTCTTCCAGCACCAAGCTCATGGGTTACTTTTGCCATTACAAGTGCATCAATTCCAGATACAATGCCGCTCTTTTCGGCAACAAGCTCTAATTTTTTAGAAGCAAGAGGTAGGATACTAAAGGGGTCTGCGCCAGCTGCACAAAGCTTCTGTGCCACTTCTGGTTTGACACCTTGAGCTATTATCATGTCACAGAATTTTTGTAAAGCTTTTCCATTTTCCAAGCTGTCAGCAATGAGTTTCTTTCCAGCTTCCTCTGATTCCACTTTATTTAAAGCATGAAGAAGATGACCACCTAAATGTAAAAAAATTGAATTTGATTAATATAATAAGTAATATGTTGCATATGAAAGTTACTTTTAGCAATGATTACACATA